TGGCCTCTCACAAAAACTAATAATCCCTGACTCTATTTCAGGCTCCAAAATCTGCTTTTTCTAAATCTGCATGAATAACCCAGGCAGAGAAACCTTTAGTGAGCTGAATAGTATTCCCAATACTTTCTCTCTACCCAGAACTTCCGAATGCAGCCATAATTAGAAACAAGGAGTTTGTGGACATAAATTAGTTAAGCTGAGGTTATACTAGGTTGGTCTTCAATTCAATGATTAGTACCCTCATAAGAAAAGAGGACAAGCTGGGTGCAGTGGCACACACCTGTAATCCCAGAAGCTTGGAAGGCTGAGACAAGAGGATCACAAGTTCAAAGGCAGCCTTAGCAACAGCGAGGTTGCAAGCAACTCAGTGAGACCCTGTCTCTAAATGAAATACAAAATAGGGAATGTGGCTCAGTGGTCGAGTGCCCCTGAGTTCAATCACCGGTACCAAAAATAAAAGAGAAAGAGAAGGCAGCATGCCATATGATAATGAAAGCAGAGGCTGATGAAATGATGCAGCTATAAGCCAAAAACAGGAGTCAACAGGAGCTGGGAAGAGACAAGGAATGATCCCTTCTCAAAAGGAAACATAACCCTGCCAACATCTTGATTTTAGATTTCTAACCGAAACTATGAAGGAATAAATTTCTGTTGTGTTAAGCCATTAACGTTGTGGTACTTTGTTTCAGTACTTCCAGGATATTAATTTACACCTTATGACAAATTATCCATTAACATGTCTAAAAACTATAAAAAATAAATAAATAAAAAAGGTTAGAGCATAGCTGTTCAGTAGTAGGRCACCCTTGGACTCAATCCCCAGTATTAAAAATAAGAATATAAAAAAATTTGCTCCTGATCTGAGCACTCCTTCCTGCATGGGATGGAAGAGTATTAACAAAGTTATACCTCATCCTTCTTCTCCTGAATGCGCCGTCTCTCTGCCTCAATAGCCAGCTTCTCCTGAATTTCCTGAGCAATTTCACAGTCTTGTTGTTCACTAAAAAAAAGGTGAAATAATATGAATACAAAAAATAAGGACTACATTTTCCTACAAAATAATAAACACAATTTATTGAATACTATGA